TACGTGTTAATGAGAAGTAGGCTGACGAAGGCGACGCCCCCCTGCCGCCCAGGGCCGCATGTCGCCTCTCGGTGCCGGCCGGCTTTGTTGTACTCGGCACTGAAGTTTATCCCTGCAATGTGTGTTCCTGGGGGGGTGGGGGGTTCATGGTGACGCGTGATGTGGCTTTGATAAGATCGTCAGCTGCCGGGACAGAGTGACAGGTGGCTCTGACAGGCAGACTGGTGTCAGTTTAACCGAACTTGTCCTACTTGCACTCTAAGGTGAGATTTCACCTTAAACATCAAACACCAGCACGCTGGGGAGGTTTCATGCTCTGACGGCTCAACATTACCATTGTTTACCAAAGCAAATGTTACCTTCCCAAATACAATTTTGCGTGTTTTACGTTTGTATGTCACACAGTGTAAATTAGGTCACACAGACTGTCTGCGATCTGCCTGTTCCTCCATACATTGCTGTGGTTTTCAGCATATTTTGAAACCAAAATGAACATGGACTGGAGCAGCTCCCCCCCCCCCTGCCAGGAGTGCAATGGGTGAGGGCTGGGGTGTGAGCAGTGCATCTGCATTAGTGCCTCTTTGTGTCAGTGCAGGGCAGGGATGCTCATGTGTGCTGAATTACAGCTGTCTCTGACCACAGTGAAAGAGTCCTGTGTGTTTAAGAGGAGACGCTGGGGGAGGGGGCTCCTGTGTGCCCAGCTCTATTTTTTTAATGTGCCTGCCCCCTGCTGGAGGGGCTTTTCCAAGCTGCTTTACATGTTTCCCAAAGATGTGAGTCTGTTGGGTGGGGGCAGTGCCTGATTCCGCAGGGAGTGGGAGGGACACGTCCACCCCTTTTTCCCTGTGTTTATCCTAACCCCTCCTCCACACACGGCGCCCCAGACACTGACACACTTTCCCTTCCATCTGTGTTTCCCTACCCAGAATACCCTAACAACCCGCCGCCTGGGGGGCGTGACAATCCGCAAGAGCCCCAGAATCCCGGCGCCGCCATTGGTGGAGCGGTGGGGGGCGTGGCCCTGCTGGGCGTGGCCGCCGGCCTCCTGTTCGTCTTCCTGCGGCGCCGACAGCACACCTTCAAGGGCGACTATAGCACGAAGAAGCACGCATTTGGGAATGGCTACAGCAAGGCCGGCGCTGGTGGGGCCCCCCCTCACCCGGCGCTGCCCAAAAGCCCACAGTACCCCGATGACTCAGACGATGAGAAAAAGCCCCCTCAGATCGCGCCTGCCGCCTTTGAGGGGGGTGAACGCGACTCTGAGGACACCAAGCGGCCATATTTCACGGTGGAGGAGGCGGAGCGGCGAGAGTACGACGGGCGGACTCTCTCCTTCCAGTACGAGCCCGACGCCGAGATCACCGATGACATGGTGTCCCAGACCGACGGCTCGGTCATCTCCAAGAAGGAGTGGTACGTGTAGGGGCCCCTCCCTCGCTGACCACGCCCCCCAACGCCCCCACCCCGGCACACATCCATACGTCCCCATAAAAAGAATACGGAATAATCCGGAATGCGCCTTCTCAGCCGTTTCCAGACGTCAGTGTGATTCACATCGTGGTATTTTAACAATGCTATTAAACCAGTCAATAAAGGTTCATTCGTGGCCAGTGGCCGGTGACTTCGATCTGCCAGGAAGCCTAGCTGCTTGATAATAATAATTGTGCATAATTTCTTTTGTCATGTTATTCTAAATGTATCAATTGTGTATGAAAAAGGGCATTGCTGCACCCGTGGACTGACTTATACACTGGATGTATGATATTTCCTCTTACTTCTGCATTTGCTCGCCGGCGTTTCTCTCTCGTTTTGGCGAAGCCATTGCTAACACCAAGGAGAAGCGGACCTTGATGCCGCCAGGCCACCTGCAGTTAACCAATCGAATCAACCAATCAAAGGAGCTTTTGCTGGACCTATGGACCAATCAGAAAGCGGCACTAAGCCACGTGCCTGACCCTCTCTGCCAGCAGCAGTTGCTCAATCCAGAGTCTTGGAAAGCAGGACTGGTAGATAAGTGTGCAAAGTGTCAAGCCTCTGGCAGGAAGGTTCCAGCTAACGGACTAGTGTCACCTTCACTGGCACGTACCGACACCTCACCACGCTTCTTGTGTCTTGATGCCACATGTCATTTTCACGTCCCTGACTGCCAAACATGGCGGAGTGGATTTCCTGGCATCCAAAAGTTGGCTCTCATAAGGGTGGGGAAATCTGTTTGGTGCCAAAATGACGCACTGAAGTCCAGTCTCTTAATCCGCATGTTTCCACTACCCTCGTTCCTGCAAACCGCTGCCAGTCACACGCCTTCAAGAACTGAACGTTATTTTGTCATCATGTGACAATGATGACACTTTGCTTTCATCAGTTTTGCATTTTAGCCAGTCTCTCTCCATGCTAGTGGTTCAAATTGATGAAAACCAAATGTAGAGATGCTCAATATACCAAGATACTGTAAATGAAACAGGAGACTGAACTGGAAAGTGGGCGTGAATTGCTTGACAAGTAATAACCTTAATGACATCAGCGCCTTGGAAAAGCCCAATCCTGGCCTCCACCTCACCCGTCTTTGAGAAAACCCAGTTGAAGACACGGAGTGGACATGGAATGCTAGCGTTTGTCAAGTACTGGGCTATGCATGCCGGACAAACTGATATACAAACATCGCAGGGTGTTGAGCACCAACATGACATGTTTTCAGTTCTCTCCTTTTTTCGTGAATACATTTTTAATTGTCTTTGATGACTGTGATGGCTCTGGGTAAATGTGAGGAGCCTGCGAATCCATCTACCCTGCCTGACCGCTTTTCTTTTAAGCGTTTTGTGTCTCTGGGTGGTAGCTCTGTTGAATGATTATGTATGCAGTGCCAATAACTCCCATGTGTAGCAAGCTGGTCCTTAGTAGCATCCAGTCTACAGTGTAAAGGAGTGAAGGAAAAGTGGTGAGGCTCATCAGGAATTCAGAAACATGTCCACCTGGTACGAAAAAGCCTCGTGTTTGGGTGTATACGTGCAGGCCTTGCTTCTCCCCCTCCTGCATCGGAGTGTGTGTCTTTGTGTCTCTGCTAAAACGTGAGAGGCCTGCCAGCACTGGTACAGAGCCGGGTCTGTGCTCACGGACCGTGGGAAGGACTTTGTGCCGGGATCTAAGGAGAGGAACCTCCGGAAGAGGACAAATCTGTCGCTTAAGCTGACTGTTTTTTTTTTTTTTTCTCCCAGCCCCAAGTGAGACATGAGTTACATTTATAACCTTGGGGTGTGATGGATGCTATGTTGCAGCTGTTTGTCATCTGTCTGGATTATTATGTACCAGTGTCGTGGAGTCACATATGTTCCCTGTAATTTAACAAGCACAAAGATAACCACGAGAACTGTAGAGGCACAGAAAAGCTATCTGTCTGTGAGTTCCAGCATCCGTGTTCCCGTTCATCTCCCACAGATGCCTTTATTTCCCTAAATGAAGATTTTACTGTATCTGTCTCTGAGAAAGTATTGAATTGACTGGACGTACAGTTATAAGTGGAGTTTGAGATTTGAGGTTGTGCGTCACAGTGTTTACATTGACATACACAGATAATAAAATGCTTTTGTGCACATTAAGATCCATGAAAACATGCCCGATGTTTCGTCCCGACCGTACCTGGCCGCTTCGGAGGCCTCACACTGGAAATGGAAGCTGCCTTGTGAACGATGGAGCTCTCAGAGAGACGGGACGCGTCCGCGTGATCCCTCCACGTCACGGTGACGTGCAAAACCTCCACGGTGACGTGAATGCCACCCCCCCCCCGTGAGCTTTCCCTTGTAGCCTCACGCCTCAATGCTGCTTAATTACCTCCAACGTAACAGGCTTTTATGGCTTCTAACGTTTTGCTTTCTTTGCTACCGTAAAGGTTGAGACTTTTTCTTCTCCCTGGTCAGATTTTAATCTCCTGCTATCTGCAGTTGGTGAATAGGGCAGCTGGGGCGGGGCTTTTACACCACATTTAATAAAGTGTACGCCAGTCGCTTTATTTGTAAGACTCCTGAGTACGTGGAAATACGAATGAATGAAGCAGGAATATCAGTCAGTGTTCAAAAAGCTTGTGGCCACCTTCCTGGTTCGCGTTTTACCGCGTTTTACCGTGTTTTACCTATCTTGCGCAGTCATATTTAGCATATCTCTAAATGTTATACTCATGCTTGTGGATTTGACTCTGTCTTGTATCTGATAGACCAGCCGTCTGTTCTGAGTAATGCAGTTCATGTTACTGAAGGAGGTACTGACCCAGCTACTCAAAGTGGAGTTACTCGTAAAAAAAAGAACGAAACTGAAGAAGGCTATGAGCAGACAGCAGTAATGTGTGTGAGATCATGGTCCTGTGAGCTATAGTGATGGTCTGTACACGATGGTCTTTATACAATGGTGGTCTGTACATGGGTGTTTCTCAATACCAAGGATGCAAAGATCATACTTGTGGTCTTGGCTAGACCGGTCTTGCTAACTTGCCTTCCAAGAACGAAGTTGGGATGCAAGGAATCATGGGATTGGTCTCGTTTGGTGACAATGCAACCAATGTATCCTTGATGTTTGGGACGGGGCAAGAACGACATCCGGGGATTTTTACCATCCTCTGTACTTCTGTTGATGAGTATTGAAACTTGTCTTTGGCAATGGAAGATGATGTAAAACGGGTACGCGAGAACACGAGTATGGTCAAGTACGCATATTGAGAAACACCCTATGATGGGCTGTTCATGATGGTCTGTACACAATGACTTGTGCATGATGGTTTGTAGATGATGACCTATACACAATGGTCTCTATGTGATGGTCTGTACGCGATGGTCTAGATGTGATGACCTGTTAGGGACTCTAAGCCTACTTTTTGATGACATTTCACAAGTTTGTGTAAAAATATAAGTATCATCGAGTACATTGAGTAATCATCTATTAAATAGTAACTGCTGCCAACGCAGTATAATGTATGAGGGCCAAATTTCACCTTCAGCAAGGGATCCTTGTTACAGCATACAGGGGTAAATAATCCCATGCAAACAGAGAAATGCTTTGCTGAGTTTACAATCATACATACACACATATATATCCTGTAAAACTATCATCATGTAAGCAAGGAGGTTATCCCTGCAACCACTCCTGCTCAGTTAAGTGCATCAGAATGAGCCGTTCATCTTCATACGGGAACGATGGCTTCAGGGAGAGCAGTTTGACGGCAGCTATGTCAGGGAAAGAAAGATGAAGGGCGATGCAGATAGTGAGGTGCCTCCATGGCAGGAGGTGGATTCTGACGTCTGAGGAGCTGTTATGAGAAGCTTCTAGAGTCTGTGCATCCGTCGTCGGCTGTCAGGCGAGACTCACGTGAAGGACATACGGCTGGTTAGAGGGAATCGGCAAGTGGTCCGAAAAGGATGACTGCGTAGCCCAGCACAAGCGTAATAAGTAACGGTAGAGAGGCATTAGAGACTGTCCATGCACACGTGTGATGTCACGATGATCCGGACTGGACCTACCGACGCTACGTGTAAATATGGGGATTTAACGTTCTGTAATATAAGTTCCACTCTAAGAGCCCCTAGTGACTCTTGTATTACATGGGTGATATTGTATTTGTAAGTCAGAGGGTTTGTTAAGGTTGTGTTTTCCTGTGGTTTGTGCTGAACAGGGGTAAAAGTTTTTATCACCATTTGGTGTCTTTCAGCAACTCTTGACAGTATAAAGATCTGCATTTTATAAATAGTGTCAACTAAATCGATGGTAATGAGTTTTTTTTTTTTTTGTTATGATTTTTACTTAAGATGTGTACAGTTGAAGGTGCGTTTGTCCACAATAAAAAGGCGTTACACCGCATCGTGGCCTCCTCCCCGTGTCCCCTTTACTTTCTCCAATGAATGTCAACGAAAGGTCAGTCCAGTATCGACTGAAATTACTCTTCATTTTGGAGTGTGTTAACCTCTGTGGTCCGTACAAAGAGGAGAAAACATTTACTTTCATTGTGGGCGATACATTTAAAAATAATAAAACATCATCTAGCAAAGACGGGAAAGTTCCCGGACCTGGCCAAGGCCGGCAGCTGCTCGAGTGCTCATTCCGGAAGCTTCCGGAGTCGGGCCTGTGCCTTTCAGGGTCAGCCTACCACTCTGCGGTCCCTTGACTGTGTGAGAACCCCTCCATACGTGCTCTGATAACCACCTCAAATCGCTCTCTTCGTTTAGACAAAGCGCTGATGAGTCACGCGTGCGCTTTTACTGCAGCAGGAGGCGGGGGCCAGCTGTGGCGGGCCGCATTTACGCGTTATGCAACCGAATACAGCGAAATTGCGATGCCGGTCTGAAAAACAACGACGGCCCTTAAGCGTTGGCCAGAGCAGCACAAAGCGGCTTCCGTGTAGCCAATGTATCAACGGTGAGATTACAGAACCTTCAGCGTGTTAAAGGTACCACCTCAGCATATAATAAAATCCTCACACAGGTGCAGGAAATAAAACCGCGTTTAATTTCCGCACATTATGCAGAACCATGAGTTTCTGACTTCATTTGTTAAACAACCAAATACAGGCCAATTGCAACTATTAAGTCTTTACAGTTCATTATGCCGCCACATAGCTAGCTGTTATTAACGGAGATGTTTTGACTAACGGGATAAAATCCGCAGCAGCGATGCACTAAAGCTCTCCATGAATGCAACAGCTGCATGTATATTAATCTAACAAATAGGCCTGTTGATTTTTCATTGTGTGTTCACAGAAACAGCATTTAAGGCAGAAAAAAAACCAAAGTTTATTAACCATTGGCTATTTCTCACATCTACAGACCCAGAGATCCATGAGCTTTTTAGATGTCTGACAATTAGAGTCACAATCAGGTTTATAGGCCAAGGATGTTCACACATGGGGAATTTGTCAGCCAGTGGCTCTCATATGTACAGTGGACACATACGCAGGTTAGACAAGACAATGGTCACATACAGGACAGGACATTTATATCACACATTGGTAGGTAACAAAGAACACCATATCAATGAATAAATACATGCTCATATGCAGTATCTAAGGTAACCAGGGTGGTCTTTAAAATATTTAAATAAAATATTTATCGTGTTTGAGGCTGAATGGTAAATATTCTTGGTCTACCAAGATTTTCCCTTTGACTGCGGAATTTATGCTAATAACCTAATGCTTGGAGGGAGGGGGGGGGGGGGGGGCTTTAACCCCTTCCTTACCAGTTTGAATGCAATTACTTAGTCTAACAAAATCAGCGATTTATCCATGGAATACATCAATAACTAGGTATTCAAACACAATAGTTTGTGTTTATTCACAGTAATGAAAGCCACGTCAATGATCGTGGGGTAAATTAAGATTCTAGTAATTTCCAAGAACGATGCCAGGGTTAAACATGTGTGATGCATATCCTGGCCATATTCAGGGCACAGCCGGAACCTAGACCATGGAGAAGCACAGGTCTGGCCTTTACATGCGCACTCCCCCCTGCCCCCTGCCCCTGGCCCCCGGCCCGCGGGCCACTGCCACTCCCCGCAGGTGAGCGAGTGGGACGGGAGTGAGGGCCCAGCCGAGAGCCCCGGTGAAGAAGCAGTCACCGGCAACATGGCTCAGCATCTCTGACAGCCTTCCAGTGACAGGACCTCAGCTCTCCCAACAATCACACCATGTACATGATTTATTATTTATTATAGAGTCCATTGGTCTGCAAGACAGGGATGTCTTCCCCAGACACAAGAGAACATTCTCCCATTCTCACAATAATATTAATAATAATAATAATAAATAACAATAAAACAACAACAATAACAGTAATAATAATAAATAATAACAACAATAATAATAATAATAATAATAATAATGTGTACCCAATGACCCGCCTGATTAGTGGCAGTGGATAATAGATGTACTGAAAGAGAAAATAAAGCTCTTAATTTACACAATTACACAAAATGTTACTCCACACCCATTATGTTTGTGACAGATATTGTTTAGCAATTATCAGTGTGGTTAATTGAAATAAATAATTACCACGAGAGTGTGATGGATAGACTCGGATTCTGGATCACATGATCTCCCCCAGATCGCCGGTGTCTGGACCTGCTTCCCAGATGACGGAGTGTGAGAGTTCGCACATCGAGGCTCTGAGCAACACTGGAAGCAGGACTCAGCTCCCTCACGCCGGTGAGGACTCCATGTGTGTATGGCACGCTAGTGATTTACACCTTCCACGTTCATTATCTGCCTCTTCAATAACAGTTTGGAGAAGCATTCGGAAAGTGTAATAAATTACGGGGGGCGGGGGCGACATGTGCGCTAATTACCAATGAAGGGATTTGTGTGACTGTTTGGGGCTCGGAGGTACACCTCACCTTGAGGTGAAGGGAGATTGATGTGCACTTTTAATCATTGATGTCGTGGATGCGATATTTGGATTGCTTTAAGGGTTTTATTTTGGTTACTCTGATGAATTTGTTGAATTTATTATTTTATTATTAATTAGGAAGGGAAGGAGCTGGCACCTGAGTGATTAACCTAGGTTCAGGAATAGCAGAATTAAGGCAAATCAGTTTGATTTACAGTGACGGATAGAGCTATACATCTCTGTCACCCGAA